AAAAATATATCTCAATATTTTCTGGGATTTTATTGATAACGATAATTAGATGATATTTTGCTGAGTGTGTTATTGTGCTGATATCTTAAGGACTGCCGTGGACAGCTGACTCCTAAAATGTTTGATATTCTTCATATTCTGTGTGGCGATCAGTTCACAGCAGTGAATTAATATTTTCCAATAAGTTTAAATAGATTTTTACCTTTTAAATGAAATCAGTATTGACAAAATCCATCTTTGCAATGCAGAGAAAACACAGAAGCTGCATTAAGGGGCATTTAGATGCATTTACACACTGTTTAATGCAGGACATGAATAACCTGCAGTTACAAATGCAGTCATACTGTTTTGATATTTTAAACATAAAATGTTGAATACTGATATTTGAAATTAGAAAAATAAAAAAAAATGAAAAGATACTTTAAATGTGAAATTAAAACTGCCAGTAGGTGGCAGCAAGTCACTGTTAATAAGTGAGTCAGTGCAACTGAACCGAATCATTTAAACGGTCGATTCATTCAGGAACGAAACACCTCATGTTGCTCAGAGATGCAAATTTGAATTATATTTGTTGGCCAAATAGAGCAAAAACAGTCAATATTGTGTCTAAAACGTAAGTATATTAATATTAATTGATTGTTTATTGAACTGTTGCATAAAATCAATATCACATTTGTAATCATGCTGCTTTTTGGTGGAAAAAACGTCAGTCTTCGGGTGATACTGATTAAGGGGCATTTAGATGCATTTACACACTGTTTAATGCAGGACATGAATGTATTTAACCTGCAGTTGAATGAATATGAAAATGATATGAAATTATATAAATATATACATTTCTGCCCCCATATCTTGAATTTTGTGATCATTCTAAATGCATTTTATTAAACTGAATCATGCAGTAAACTGAATCATGTAGCTCTCATGAGTCATGGATGTTAACAAGACAAATTAACTATAATTGTCTTTTGGGTAATTAGCTGTAAATTCGAGGCACATGTTGTTTTTAGTCTTGTTCATCAGCACTCACCTCCACACCAAGACAAACACAACTGGAAAGGCAGGGAGGGCTTCACTTCTGCGGCTCTCTGCCTGATGCGCATGTGCCGATCAGTGTGCGCTACACTGCTGTGTGCTGCGCCTGCGCGGAGGGGCGTCGGAACTCGACAGCATAGACATTATTGTCTCAACATTTCCCGACCCGACATTTTGATTTTTTTATTAGTTTGACAGGGAAAGCTGTGCGCAAACAAAAACACACACACACACGCGCGCACATATAGCTATACATATATTAATTTATAAAACATTTTAAAAAGACACTCCCCAGAAAAAAGGGGCACTTTCTCTAGATGAAGAAAAAGGGCAGGTGCTCAAGCCCCCTTTTATGTCTGTGTGCACGTGCCTGGATAGATAGATAGATAGAATGGTGTAAAAGTGGCTTACAAATAAATTCACTTCAGGTAGAATTTTACATATATCATTTAATATTTAGACTTGGGGCATTAGCCTTTTATTACAGCACAATTTGCATAATTTATCAATACCGTTTGTGTACAACCACAAAAACCATGACAGCTGGATTTTTTTTCATCAGTTTACATTAAGTGGAAAACCAGACGGATTATACAAGCATATCTTTGTACAGTCAGCATACATATTTAGATCTGATTAATTATCTTTTTGTAAATAGAATCTGGACACAAAAATAGTATGAACAAACCACCAACAAAACATGCAACATCCAAAGTGAAAACACCATACGTTTCCTGATTCTACTTGGAGTCAGTAAGGTCAACATCTGCTCTTTATTATACAGGTGTTAAATCGGTGTCTGTTGTGCAGGTCAAGTCCAGTCCATCAGAGGCAAGCATGAGGAAAGCTTTTACCCTAGTGCATGTACAACATGTAACACACAGATCAAAACACAGTCGCTCTGCTCCTTTCCCTCACACATGCTCTTCGCTGAACCAGAAAACTAATACAAGATCCGATTTGTACAAAAAGAAAATTCTTATTTTTATTTACACGTCTTGTTTTTATTTATTAATTTTTTTATTATCATGTTTGCAGTGGTGAAAGAGTTAGTGTGGCGAAGTGAAAGTGGAGCATGCGTGGATTATTCAAAGGAGGCTGCGTTGGTTACGATGAATTAATGTGACGAATATATGATGCTTTTTTCCCCCCTCATCTAATTTGTAAAGATAAAAAATTATAACACATTCTGGGAGATCAGAATATATAGTGAAAGCTGAGCATTGTATATGAAGCTGAGTGCAGTGAGATAGTTGTTTCCAAACACTGTGAACGATGAACATAAGATGACCAGTCTGCTATGATCCTGTAAACACATTTTGTTATGTACATTTGAATTCTCAAAACTAGCAGTTAAATAGTCGAGTAGGTTAATCAACCCTACGTTTTTGCAAACTCATTGTTACAAGACCTCAAAATAGCAATATAAAATTAATTAAACAAGCATCAAATAAAAGACACAACCAAATATATATATATATAAAAGCAAACATATATACCATGTGGGAAAAAAACATACAAAAATAAAAAAAAGTCCTCATTCGTAATGCTTTATCTGTCCTCCGACCACTACACAATAATTACATCAGATGTATTTTCGGTTGCATAGAATAACATGCACAGAACCTGTGGATTTTGGTAGTTTGGCACAGGTTAAAGGTTGACTTAACCCTTACGCTGGATGTTTGTGTGAATATCAGTAAGTGCTTGAGCTGTAAAATGGCTGGGCTAAGTGTTGTAAAGTTTGAATCCACACATCCCAAGTTTAAAGGCATGAAAACTAACATAAGAAACAACATATACATAACACTAATGGCATTTGATTTAGTTGTCGAAGTGGCCACACTTTTCTGAAAGAATGAGATGGTGCACTCAGCGTCTAAACGTCTCCTTTTAGACAAATAAACTGAAAAGAAAATAACAGTTAGCCAAAATGATCTGTTCAAATAAAAATGAACACATTTTGATGCCATCACCCTGATCCTCACTGTTATCGCCTTTAAGCTGAACCTGCTTAGATCAAAGATCAGCCTATAACTTTTAAGCAAGGCTTTTTCATCGAAACCTGAGTGTTTAGGAGTTTGTTTTTTAATAAAACATAATATCAACATTGTATCAGCAATATGATGCGGACAGACACTACACTGATCCATTCAAACTCTAATCCTTGAGTATTTAAGAGAGACAGATGCGTATGAATTTGTGTGGGGGACTGACAGTGTTTGACTTTTTTTAAATGGCAGGATGTTTTTTGACGAAAAAGCTACCAACCTACATTCGTAAAATGCTAGACACAAAGTGCAAATCATATAACAGTGCTGGATTTGACATTTTCAACTGATGCTGCTGCATATCGGGGATATGCCGTCTGTCACATTCATCAAACGAGATAGCAAATCATAACAATCAGCGAACACTTTCTATTCAATTTCCCATTCATTTCTGTGAGTCATATTAGACCGGCAGTTTTCTTAAAGGTTTAAATTCTTTGCAATTATCTGCTTCTTGATTCCTAGAGCTCTGAAACTGTATCTCGGACTTTGATGAATTTAGTATCACACAGCGAAAGATGAAAGTGTTATAATAACCTTACTGACACAAGGAGTCATCACAACACCCAATAAAATCATATTTCATTCATTTAAATCTGTCTATAATATACCATAAAATACTCTTCTAATCCATTGATAATATGCTTTAAATATCAGTTCTTTCAACACATAATAACATCTGAGAGGGAATGTAAAATAACAATAAAGATCTAAAACTGAATTTGTCTCCATCATACAAAAATAATGTATATGATATCCGTCTCTATCTGTAAATAATCACAAACGGGATAAATAAACTTTCACTCTATTATCTAACTGTCTGTTGTGGCCCAATGTACACATATTATTATACATACATCGGTATAAATATGTGTCGATAAGTGTGAGTGATTGTGAAAGTGCATGTACACATATGAACATTGTGTGACTCCCCGGCTCAATTTTTTGAGCTTTTCCCAACGTAAAGATCTGCATCTTGTCAATAAGGGTCAGACCCTTTCTGTAAACACCATTATACACCTGTTTCTCCATGGCTTGGGTTAACACAATCACACGTGCCAGTGCAATCGAGAAGCTCCCTGTGTCGGCCCTCCAAATTCAGCTCAGTTTAGTCCCAAAGAGTGCGGCAGAGATGTGCGACTCCACGGCCTGTTCTGTCCTCGCGCCTCATCCGACCGCCGTCTTTAGGAGTGGATCTGAGCTGTGCTGGCCAGCAGCTTGTGCCAGCTCACCACCCGTTTCCGCAGGTCTACCTTATCCAGCCACACGTAGGCTTCGCCGATTAGGGTCTTCTTTAAGAACTTGCCTCCGTTTGAAACAAGAAAGAGCTGCAAGGGTTGGAATAAATATGAATCACATGACTTCAAGTTGGGTCACATTTGAACACCCTAGTTGATTTCTGGTGTACCTGAATGGAATGACCTGTGGGGTTCATGCAGAAGCGGAAAGTTTCGTTAAACGATGGTTCGCGATCATGACGACACACTCTGGTTTTCTTCTTGATGATTCTTTTCTGAGTGGCCACATTCACCACATAGAGCTTCACATACAGGTCTGTAAAACAACACCAAAAGCAAGTATTAAGCGTTCCTCTCTTAAGTCCTGTTTAAACAGCATTTATGTAAGAACATTTGGGAAGCTTACATCAATAAGACAATGTGTATATCAACCATATATGTGACTCTGGACCACAAAACCAGTTGTAAGTCACACGCGTATATTTGTAGCAATAGCCAGCAATACATTATATTGGTCAAAATGAAAAATCGATTTGTCTTTTATGCCAAAAATCATTAAGATATTAAGTAAAGATCATGCTTAGTGAAGATATTTAGTAAATTTCCTACTATAAATATATCAAAACATAATTTTTGATTAGTAATATGCAATGCTAAGGACTTCATTTGGACAACTTTAAAGGCGATTTTCTCAATATTTAGATTTTTTTGCACCCTCAGATTCCAGACTTTCAAATAGTTGTAATCTCGGCCAAATGTTGTTCTATCCTAACAAACCAGACATCAATGGAAAGCTTATTTATTCAGTTTTCAGATGTTTCAATTGTTAAAAAAATTGACCCTTATGTGGTTTTGTGGTTCAGGGTCACATATAAATTAGACGCAAATTATAATTAGCATGAGTGAACATGTTTGCAGTCATGTCTTGTTACCCGGGAGGTGGTCTGGAGACTTGAATTTGTATGTTATGTTTCTGCACTGTAGGATCTCAAGCACCAGGTGTTCCCCCTCTGTCTTCATCTCCTTCTTCAGGGCGATCTTTATCTCCCCTATCACCTGAGTCTTACCTAAACGGGTAGACACAGACACGTCAATATCGCAATTCTTCTTCCTATCTGTTATCTCTGTATCTCTTCCTCCCACATTCTGTGAATCTCGGAGCATGAGGAGCATAGAGACCGTGATAAATAACACGGCACAGGAAATAGATGAATCCAGAAGGAACTATTATCCACTCTTATTTAAGTCATAGATAAAAGTGTAATAATATATTCTATCGTTCAAAAGTTTGCAGGCAGAACGATTTTGTTTTTAGAAGCACTTGGGAGTTTTATTCAGCAAGGATGCATTAAATTTATAAAAATTTCTATTCATCAAATAATCCTGAAAAGCATCACGGGTTTTGACACAAATATTAAGCAGCACAACTGTTTTCAATTTGAGCACTAAATCAGCACATTATAATGATTTCTGAAGGATTATATGACACTTAAGATTGGAGTAATGATGCTTAAAATTCTGATTAGCCATCACAGCAATAAATTACATTTTAAAGTATATAAAATAGAAAACAGTTATTGTAAATTTAAATAATATTTCACAATATTTCTGTTTTTATTGTATTTTTGATCAAATAAATGCAGAATAGGAGAGCATAAGAGGCTTCTTTGAAAAAATATTAAGACATTTTTACCAACTACAAACTTTTGAACTGTACTGTAGATAAAAGTATGATCTAATAAAATTATACAAATTATACAAAATCATAATATATACAAAATACTATATATTGAATTCAACTTTGGTGCCACATTGTACTCCACAATACCATGCTATTGACACAAACATGCACAAATAATCACAAAACCACACAACATCCCATGCAAACATTACCCTCTGTATCTCCATGAGCGGATTTCACAGCTTCTGTGCCGTTTGGAATCTTTCCACTGAATAATAAACAACATCAGGGCAGAGAACACGTGGAGTGCCAAGAAAATGGAGGGATTTGAATAAATAATAAACAAAAAAGCAGTCTAGATGCTACCAAATAAAACCATGAATTTGAAAATTATTTCAAACAAAATATGACAGATTAGCAAATATCATGGGAGTCATATGGAAAGCACTCACAATCTGGGAACCTGGAAGATAGCACTATCCACCGCATTGGTCCCGCCCTCTTCATCCAATAGGCTAAAGGCACTGCCACTCAGACCGCTGTCCAATGAGGCTGCAGTAACAGGAGCATCACCAGATCTATGGCTGCGGGACGCTGTTTTTGAAGTGGACTATGTGAGTTGCATGAGTTACATAGACTACTACTAGTTTGCAACTGGTAACTATTAATTTTAGGGGTAGATATCCACATATCCACTCCCAACACAGGCACACACATACACGCAAATAGGTACTGCTGGCAACATTTAAAGAAAGCATGACAGCACTCCATAAATGAAAGGAAATATCACAGACAGAGATATGCTAAGCAGACATCAGACGACAGAAGCAAAAGCACAGACACAACAAATTAAACTGTTCATTAGTAAACTGTGTGTTTGAGTTTTGTACATCAAGTTATTCCATTATGCTAATTCTGTTAGCATTACGCTAAGTTTATTTTAATTGTGGTTGATTTTTTTTAATGTTGATGCAGTGTTTGACTGAGAGTGATGGTGATGGTGTGACGTGGGATGCATGATTTCGGCATGTAATTCATGCACACAGTCTTTTCCACACAGATTCAGCAACGGTAACACTAACACCAGGCATCTAATGACTCTCTCAGGATGGTCAGGGGGTCATTGCTCCCTCCTAGAGTTTGTTGCAGTTGAGCACTACTGTTTTGTCCCCTGGTTATAGGGAAGCACGTTGCTGGACTGTTGAATAAGACTGAGACTCGCTGCATGAAAATCCTGTGAAGTGGAAGAGGGAGGATTCCAGTCGAAAGTGAGCATCACTAGGTCCTAATCACTTAAAAAACGGAGGACTTCGAAGGTCGCAAGGCATGTATTTGCAGGACAAGTGTCACTGCTAATCTATTGTGAATCAGCAAAATTAAGGCCTGGTCATACCAACACAAATTTTCGACAGAAAAAATCAGCCTACATGCGGTTTGTATGTTCAGACCAATCTCAAAATGCAATTTCACTCTCTGTCAGTAGGTGACGCTTACAGAAAAGCTTTTATGTTAAAAGGATAGTTCACCCAAAAATGAAAATTCTGTCATTAATTACTCACCCTAATGTCGTTCCAAACCTGTAAGACCTTCGTTCATCTTCTGAACACAAAGGAAGATATTTGATGAAATCCGAGAGCTTTCTGACCCTGCATAGACAGCAACGCAACTACCCCGTTCCAAGTCCCAGAAAGGTAGTAAGGATAATGTTAAAATAGTCCATGTGACATCAGTGGTTCAACCATAATTTTATGAAGCTACGAGAATACTTTTTGTGCACAAAGAAAACAAAAATAACTTTATTCAACAATTTCTTATCTTCCGTGTCAGTTGACGCGCATTCACGAGAGTACCACGATGCATGTGTGTGATGCTGCAGACGCAGAAGCTGGCGTTCTGACGTAGAACCCAGATGCGCTGTGCTTGGTTTCATTTTTGGTTGAACTATCTCTTTATTTTCTTATGTTTGTCGAAATATTTGATTACAATGACTGATTTTAATTGCCTTTATGTGTTCATTGTTCAAAATGTTTCAATAAAAACACACAAAGGCAGTGCTGCGCATTTTTACATTTTTGACACTCGCTTGTCCTGGATAATAAACAAAATCAAACAGCATTTTTAAAACAGACGTTACCATTTTTTTAATTTGGTATGATGTTCATTAAACAACAGCAAATACAATAATACAGAGAAAGATTCTTCCTCTGCTTTTCACTGTCACTCAACAAAATAGTCTTTTTGTGAGCGCCACCAAGTTGTTGTTTTATGTAACAGCAAAAGCGTGTGTCTCCAGAGTCTAGACACATGACCAAAAGTGCAATTCTTATTGGTTAGCCAGTTTTCGTCACAGTGCAATGGATAATAGATTAGAACACTTATCCATTAAAAAAATTAATTCAAATTGACGCCATGCAAATATTTGTGTTGGTCTGAACAGACGTAATAACTGCCGTTCAATCCAATTAAATTCAATTATTATTTTCGCACCAAACATTCTTTTGGTGTGAACAGGCCTTTTACATAAAATTCCTGCGAATGAATGCTAATGCTAATACTAATGATAAAATCTTGTTTCTTTAATTCAAACTTATTTAAATTTGTGTGCTGTTAAACTTCTACTTATGTAAATATGTAAAAGAATATTTAGTCCCGGGAGGAACAAATCACTTCAGGTTTCAAAACGAATTGTGAAGATGCGGCACCCAGGATCAAGTGATCATAACTGCAGACTTACTTCCTTGACTGTCTTCTGTAACGGTTTTGTGTAAAGGAATCCAGTTGCTCACTTTCGTTTGGAAAGACCCTTCAGATAGCATCCCCTTCCCACAGTGCCCTTCGTGAGCACAAAACACCCTTTGCAAAACAGCTAGTCCTCAGCTAGTTCCTCTAGTTAGATGTGCGTTAGTAACTCAACATCCTTTCGCTCTCTCTCTTGCGGTCATCGGCAATCATACGAGACGTTCAACTCTCACCTCCGTCCGGCTGTGGCCTCTCTTCAGACATGGCTTTCCTGAGGGTCAGGTGACGGCCGTCAGGGATCTCATTGGCTGGCGACTCAGACGGGGCTCTCTGAATGGTGAGCACACCAACTACGCTGTGCCTGTGGTGCCTCGGGTCGAGGCGGCCAATTTGGGCTGGGGCCATATATCAGCCGTGGGGTGGGAGGCGAGAAGGAGGGGATGTTTGGAAAGGGGAGAAGTGGGGCGAGATGGAGACTCAGAGTATGAACTCGTCACAACATGGACACCACCAGCTTTTACTGTAGGTCATAGTCACATGCAGCCACAGTACGCTTACAGCGTCGACTGAGGTGCAGTGTAGGCCAGCGAGAGCCGCAGAGAGAGTGGAGGCAGGGTGGGATGGTGATTTAAGGAACGGGTGGCCACATGCATAGCCATCTCGGTGGAGTGGGGAAGCTGCTGAAAAGCCGGCCGTCTGGGACAGAAAACAACTCAATGGGGCAAATAAAAGAAAAGTTCAAAGAAAGGTCGTCAGGGCTGTTGTGAAGGGCTCAAGTGGGCAAAACGTGGTACTATGTGTTGTGTGCTGATCAGGTATGGTTGTTTGCTCTCTAACTTTAATAAAATGGTAACTTGAGCAGGTTTTACCTAAAATAACCTCAGTGACAAGGTTTCAACATGTCCCTGTGTGGTAAAAGGACATGTCTGCCGACTAGGTGCCTGACAAGTGCAGTCAAATCTCCTCACAGTGATTGACAGGTCTTAGTAATCTTAGTTAGCATCCTGTGGAAGGCAGCAAAGTGCCTGACTAGGTCGGAAATTGTATTTATTTTTGAAGATTTTTTTAGGCTGGACTCTATTTTATACATATGCTTATTGTGTGGTCCCTGGGAATCAAACCCATGACCTTTGCTAACGCCATGCTAGCTGTGCTACAGGAACAGGAAGGTTAAAGGATAGTTTAATCTCATATAATTACCAATAGATCAATTCAAAGTTTAGCCCTATTACTTCTAAATATGATATACTGATATACTTTTTTAAATAAATTATTTATTGGCCAGTTTATCTTTATTGTGTTCTTAAATTGTTATAATTATTAAAAGTGTTAAAAAAATAATACTGTTCTTGTGTGTTTGCAAACGCGACGTGTTCCCAACACACCGGTGAGAACACGCAGGCGAATTGGAAGTGAAGTGAAAGACTGTGACCACAGGGGGACCAGAGGAAGTAAAACGAGAGAAACCAGAAAACAACAACAGGGAAGGGGGAAAAAAACTAAAGAGGGCAGTGAAAAAGAACAGGAGGAGGAACAGATGAGTGGAAGGCAGCCATGCTGTGGAGGTTTTATTTGCGTCGTTTACTTGGTTGGAGACGGGGCTGCTGGCCGGCAGCTTCGGCCGGTGCCGGGGCATCGTCAAGGTGTGCCCGGGCCGTGCCACTTTTGCCATGAGCACGGGGGCCTCCGTGGGGGCGAGCTTGGCCCTCGGAGAGGGACGGCTTCGACCTGCCGGGGCTACTGTGAGATTTCTCAATAGTAGGGACCTGTGTGTCTAAAACAACCAGAACCAAATTACCACAAGGGCGTTTCATTCCCTACTTTTGCCTATTTATTCATTTTAATCCTTCAAAAAGTCATTCTTATTTATATTCTACAATTATTATGTTGTTAGATTATTTGAAATTATTGAGTCTCTCCATCTGACACAACTGATGTGATACTTAAGGTCCAACTATTGTGCCCTAGTTAGCATCTAAGCAGGCTGCTTCCTGTCAGAGCGGCCCTGTCACACCTTGTGTGAGGTGGCTGGAGTGAAGCGCTGGTGAGCTCAGCGCTGTTGTGAACTGAACACACATATATGGAGAGCGAGAAGCCAAAGCTAGGAAGCTCAAGAAATACAGGATGGAGAGATCCAGTGAAAGCAAGAACAATACAGAGGGAGGAAGAAAAGACAGAATGCATAGAAATGACAGCAATAGAATGATGGAAAAGAGGAAGACATCACAACTGGAAATGTGAAAGGTGAAGTGGCAGAAGTGCCATGTGACTTGCGGTCCTACCCTTGGCAGGGTCAGGGAAGATTCCGTGACTACGGCTCTTGATGACCGAGGATTTGGGCGAGTCCTCTTTGCTGTGGCTGGAGGTCTTTGGGGAATGCTGGCTCCCGTGTCCTCCGGGGGGTTTGGGCGAGTGCTGGTGGCCCTGTCCCGAGTGAGAACGCCGGTGATGCTCGCCCTCGCTCTGCTCCTTCAGAGGCAGCCAGCGTGGGACGTTGTCCAGTTGGGCCGTGTTGGACAGGTCGATTAGTACCTACAAAGCCCCATGCATGCACAATTTCATTATTATTCAGTGATAGTAGTAGTGTACGTGTGTTTTATATATATATATATATATATATATATATATATATATATATAGACACACACACACACACACTTACAATTAATTTCGCACACATTTGTATATATATATATATATATGTATATATGTATATATATATAATATATATATATATATATATATATATATATATATATATATAGACACACACACACACACACACACACTTACGTATCATTTAGCACACATTGGACTTGGTGTTTAATCTTTTAAAGTGTGTTTACAGCTTGTAGCTTCTCACCTCTCCCAAGAAGTCATTGGCAGAGCTCTTGTCGTAGTCCCACACGCTGACCTCTAGTGTCTTCTTTCTTAGCTAAACACACACCACACAAACACAAAGTATTCGATGCCAAGATGATTTACTTTGTGACTATTACCATACATTATTTTAATGTTGTCATTCTAAGTAACTTCAACTGAACTATTCCATGGTTAATCTCTAAATGAGGGGTAAGAAACATCTTATAGACAGTTTTTTTTAATTACTCAGTATTTTTCTTGTTTTCCAGTAAAACATATTTAAACATCCTTAAACAATATACATTTACCTGAGAAGCTATATTTCAAAACACACACTTCCATTCAAAATCAAAGAGTGAGGTCAGTATGATTTTTTAGGATAAATTAATGCTTTTATTCAAAAGTGACAGTTACAGAGACATTTATAATGTTGCAAAACATTCTATTTCAAATAAATGCTGTACTTTTAAACTTTCTATTTATCAAAGCAGTCATTTTTTATGATTTCCAAAAAAGTATTGAGCAGCACAATTGTTTTCAACCTTTTTAATAAGAAATGTTTCCTTAGTACCAAATCAGCATATTAGAATGATTTCTGAGGGATCATGTCACATTGAAGACTGGAGTCATGTCTGCTGAAAATTCAGCTTTGCCATCACAGGAATAAGTTACATTTGAAAATATGTGAATATAGAAAACTGTTATGTGAAATTGTAATAATATTTCACATAATTATTTTTTCAACTGTATTTTTAATCAGCCTTTGTGAGCTTTCTGAGACCTTCTGAACCTCTTCTGAAGTAAATGTATTTTGTTTTTAGAACATTTAGATACTTTTACTGGAAAGCAAGACAAAAATACTGATTTATGTTAATCCAGCAAACATCTCCAACACGATATGCAGCACTGGAGGATTAAATCCAGATGGTTTTCAATACAAGCCTCACCTACCTACATTCTGTCTTTCTCTCTCAATTAAGAGCTGTTCGCCTCGCTTCAATAGTCCAGTAAAAACATATCAATCACATCTGTCAGCAGCAGCCTCAGTGAGCTCAACAGACTCAGGAAGCTCTTTGGTCTTAATTAGACTAAAGCACTTCTGGGAGACAACAGACTTTTCCCTGTTTGCACCAAAAGCCCGAGATCCTCTCTGAAGAGCTTTCAGATAATTGAAATCTCAAAACTGACTCGAGACGTTCAAACTAAAAAAAGCATATTCCATCAAAGTGAAATCAGATTTTTCTTTTGGTTTTCTAGACACCTGCAACCTAGACATGTGCAAATGATTGCGAGCTTGTAGTTCACCTGTTCCAGATGGATATTTTTGTAGATGACAGTCTGGTTCCACTCTGGGTTCAAGCTCTTCTGAACATGTTTGGACCTTCTTTTGTTTTCAGCACTGCAATCAGATAACATACCACAAGAGGTCACCATGAGTTGCAGGTAGAAATTCAGTTAGGCACAAACTTAACCATGAAACCCCTCACAGTGGTGGCAAATGGTTTGCACAATGGAGGACGTCTAGTATAGGCCCACTTGTGTTGTTGCAGTGACCATATACTACATTGAGAAATGATGATATAAAGAGCAAAACACTACATCATTAAGCCATTCATGTCCAAGCATGGCCAAGTCTTGCATTATGTGCTGGTACTGTAGGAAAGAATCACATACCTGGCATTCTGCACAACCATGACCTGACTGTGAAGATCCAGCATGCAGCAAAAACAGACAACAATCAGTGATGAGTGGTAAACTGCAAAGGGAGGGGTGTGTGTGTGTGTTTGTGTTTGCAGTAGCCCATGCATTCATGCCCATATGGAGCAGAGACATGGATGGCTCCTGTTTCTGTAGGTTCAATCCAAGTACTGCATGATCAGATGAGAGCCAGAAATGATCCAACACACATACACAAACATACACACCAACTTACAAACATCAATCAGCGCTATCATTTTTCACACAAACTGAACTGGCATTGATTTTCCTCATTTGCTGACTCACTTGCTGCACATATAAATGCATGGACAAACACACACACACATACACACACACAATCATAAACAGCTAAAAACTAGGTCTTACACAATATGCATAATCCTCTCCAGGTCTTTCCCACAGACCTGGTGCTAATTACAGCTGGATAAGTGATTTTCTGTTTCGTTAACTCATGGAAAGTGGGAGCTAGGATTGAATAACAGCTCTGGGAGTCTTAATTTCCAGTGCCAAGGGTGAAACAGGTGGATTTTTCTTTTTTAAGTCAAGAAACCAGATATTAAAATCTTTTTTTCACACTCTATGGATAGCTATTTTGGCAGGGCACTTAAAAAGGAAGAGGCTGGACATGTAAAGTGACCAACCACAGTTAGTTGTTCACACTAAGGCTGAAACCTTGAGACACAATTCAGTTCCAGACTTTTACTCAAGATACTTACCCTCTACCCGGCAGTAAGTAAACTTTAACGAACGGATCCGAGTATCCGTTATTGTCCCGGGGTGCCAGATTTCGTGCTTGAAGAACATGGACAATGAGATTTCCCAGCTGTTTGTCGTAATTTATTTGAAGCTGCAAAATCGAAGAAAGAAAGAAATGGCTTTTCTACTTTCTACTACTAAAAAGATGTATGAATATGGCATACATTCTGTTGATTAATAAGCAGGGTTCTGACCAATTAATTCACTTTATACAATAGAGAATGCACTCATAATAAGCATTTTCCACCTGAAGAAATATTTTAGAGCTGAGCATAACTAGAAGAGTTTTTCACGAGTTCCCCCCCCCCCCCCCCCAAGCCAATCATTGGGTTGATTAGTGATTGTGCTCCTCTCGTGTTAATTAGGTTAATTATCTGAACGTGCTCCTCCCAATCTTTGTTAATAAGACATCATATATCGACTACAGAAATGTCAACTTTTGCAGGTCTGTAAACCACAATTTTAAAATTCCTTGACAAGCTACTCTTATAGCCTTGTTAATGAGAGCCAAAACCTACCTGGATCTCTCCTGACACTGAATGGGACTGAGTTTTTGCAGCCTCAGAGGTCTAAGAAACAAAACAGCAGCAGTAAGAAAAGACATAGTTATGCATTTGAATTTCTACACACAAAAAGGCATCAAATAATTGTATGCGCATGGCATATGTGTACCTTGCTGTGACGCTTCTTGCTGACAGAGGGTGAACCAGGCTGGCCAGGGCTGGGAACTGCACTGGAGCCAGCAGACGCTGAGGCTTTATCCAGTGTTGACGCAGAGGAGGACGGCATCTGCTGCTGGGACACTTTCTGCAACTCGGCAGCCAGCTGCTTAGGGTCCACACCTGGTGACCGCGGAGGTCTGTCTCCTGTATAATTATAAATGCAAGTCAGAAGTATGTGGTAAAGTGCCATTGAGGTTAATTAGGACATTATCATTTGATTGTCTTCTTCACTGACTGGAGGTTCTCACCTTTGGTCTGGTCTTGAAGGTCTAGGTGGGAGCTTTCAGAATCAGACAGCATATTTAGGTCACTGGAAATAAATGGTCAACACAAAAAGTTAATTTAAAGGGTTAGTTCACCCCAAAATTAAAATTCTGTCATTAATTACTCACCCTTGTGTCATTCCAAACCCGTTAGCCCTCTGTTCACTAAAAATTCTCCCCGAGTTACCATCTTCCGCCATTTTGGGGAGTACCACGAGGCATGTGCGTGCTTTCTCCTGAACGTAATCAGCATTGGTTACGTTCATTGGAAAGCACACATATGCATCGTGGTACTCCCCAAAATGACGTGGCGGAGAAGAATTGTTGAATAAAGTCTTTATTTTTGTTATCTTTGCGCACAAAAAGTATTCTCGTAGCTTCGCAAAAAAGTTGAGCCACTGATGTCACATGGACAGTTTTACCAATGTCCTTACTACGTTTCTGGGTCTGGGAACATTTCAGTAGGTTTGCTGTCTATGCAGGGTCAGAAGGCTCTCAGATTTCATCTAAAATATCTTAATTTCTGTTCTGAAGATTAATGGAGGTCTTAGGGTGAGTGATTTTATGACAAAATTTTCATTTTTGGGTAAACTATCCCTTTAAGCAAACATTAAATCAAAATGGACCCTATTTGCTCTCTAAAATGTATGTTCCTGGTTTTAATGTACTTTTTGTACTAAACGTACTTCCTCTCAAATGACTTTCCTTTTTGGTTGAAGTCACAAATCCTTTTAACTTTTTCAGCCCCTTTCCCTCTAACCCTGTTTTACATAAATATGTTATGTCAATTTTTCATGATTTATTCCGGCCCTACATTTCTTCTTATTAAATATCATGTTTCATTAAGAAATACAAAATACAGAATAAAAATGGGTTAGGAACTGTGTTTCATTTTAACTTGACATTTAAATGCGCACTAATTTTTCCAAACAAGTCCTAATAATTTCTTTAGTTGTACAACTTTTTTAGTAGACAGATAGAAGGTCAAAGTAAAAATGACCTAAAGCACATTTAAATAATATGTAGGTATACAAATCTGACACTCACAGTCTGACACATATCTCCGCCTCTCCGACCTGGTGACCAACTAGACCCTGCACCTCCTCGTACGTCTTACCAGTCAGAGAAATGCTGTTCCATTCCAGAACTTGCATTCCTTTCCAAACACACACACACATAGAAAATCAGCCATTAGATACATTTTAGTCTTCACTATCTGGAAGATCAAACATGCTGTGAAAAGCACTGCAACACCACACGTGATGTCTTTCAATTAAACAAACCGTGCTGTAGAAACCCTGTGAGAAAGCAGAGGGAAACACGTGCAGCAGAGTTCACTCCAAGTCACAGCAAACTAAAACCACTCTGTTGGTGCACTTACACAGATGAAAACGTGTCTTCAGGTAGGCCAGGTAGGCCCGCTTTGGACGTTTCGAAGCTCCCCTGTTACGGTGGATGCTTGGGGTCCCTGGAGGTGAACGTGTACTCGTGTCATGTACTGTATATGTACACACTCACATATTTTATAGTTTAATGTGAGAGACTGAACAGCCAGCTCACATTACTCCACTGCTTAACACCAGCTTGATAATATACATGAGTCACATGGCTGTTGTAACCATGCCGACAGCATGCATAATCACACTTAAAGCAAGTAGAAACATTTGACATTTTACCCTTAAGAAGCTTCAACTGCTGCTGTGACACTATGTGGGAGAGAGACAATATGACATGAGAAGAGACGAGACAAGAAGAGACTGAATAAGATGAGATGAGAAAAGAGTAGATATGAGAGAGAAGAGAAGGTCCGAGATGAGAAAAAGTGAAATGGGATGAGATGAGGCAAAGTGAAATGAGACAGTAGATACATAAAGAAACAAGATCAGAAGATAAGAGACAAGAAAAGATGAAAAAAGAGAAGAGAAAAGACAGGAGGAGGTGAGAGATGTTGATACTTGGCAAGATGATACGAGACAAAAGTAGATATGAGAAGAGAAAAGATCAAAAGAGAAGGGAATGAACAAGATGAGATGAGAAAAAGTGAGACAAGACAAGAAAAGGGTAAAGAAGGGACCAGATAAGATTCAATGAAACAAGAAGAAACAAGATCAAAAGAGAAGAGTTGAGACAAGATGAGAAAAGACAGGAAAATGAGAAGCAAACTGACAAGAAGAGTAGGCATGAGAACAAGATGAGAAGAGTTGAGAGAGTAGACATGAGAAAAGACGTAAAGAGTAGGCAAAAGATGATGTGAAGAGAAAAGATGAGACTATATGAGATGAATTTAGACAAGATGAAAATAGAAGAGACAGTAAGTGATAAGATGAGGCGAGATAAAATAAACAAGATAAATGAGACAAGAACAAAGAAGAGAAGAGACAAGATGATATTAGAAGAGACAACATGAGATTCAAAGAGACGAGACGGGAGAGTATACATGAGAACAGAAAAGAACAGAACAGAACAGAAAACGAGGAGTAGAGGAGAGGACACAGCTAAGGAATCAGATGTCTAAATAAAAAGTGATATTTGATAGAGAGTGTGAGAGGAGGAGGAGGAAGACAGATGTGAAGTGTTAGTCCCAGTCAAAGCTCAGAATCTTCTCTCACAAAGCCCAGCTGTTGTATATAGCCTCATAAATAAACCTGCACACAGACAGATCGACTCCCTCCGGCTTCTCTTTCCCCCTCATCACCCATCCCGGCCCCTCGTAAATTATGACCGGGAGAAAGCAGCACAAAAGCCGGAGCCCAAGCAGACCTAATTTACAACACTCCATGCTCAACCTCAGCCCTGGAGAAAGAGAGAGCATTAACTTCTCCGTCACAACTGAGATCAATAGAGCTTGTAAAATTCAGCTCCATCAAAATGGCTGAAATAGTCCATCAAGACAGTCCAAATTTCACTCTGGGTTTTATTCCAAAAGTCTGTTAAGATTCTTCCAAGTCGACGGGAAACTCTAGCCGTCAGCCATCATTGGGCGAATCTGTCACAATGAGGTCAATTCTGATTTTGTAAAGTGCACATTTACATAACGGCATTGTAAAAAACACTGTGTCAAAGCAGTAAAACCTCAAACTCTTTTCAGCTGAACTCTCCAGAGGCATTTCAGTCAAAGTTTTGATAAAAATGTAACACTCAACTCTCATTTGATCTGCGCAACACCTACGCCGCTAATGTACACCGCAGAGGAAACACAGTCATGAACCTGAAACTTCAACTTCATTTTCTGCTGCTCTATCTTTATCTCTCACGTCAAGAGTGAGTCACTCCTGGAGCCTGGAGGTGAAGAATCACGTGGATTAGCATCATTTGTTTTTCCTGTCTCCTACTTTGAAATATCACGTCACATTGTGGCCACCCCCAGAGTAACCACCCTTCACTGAGGTGCCTACCTTCCACAATCTTCCCCGTCTGTTCCGCAGCTCCTCCAGGTAATACTTTGGCAACATACGCACCAATGTGCCCATTGCTGCCCGGGACCTCTTTTCCTCCAACCACACGAATGCCCAGTCCGTTTCCTGTGAGAAAATAGTATTGCATACATATAAAGATGGTCCAAAACCTGCACCAGATGGTAACAAGCCTAGAAGACTCTTTTTGATCTTTATTTTATTTTTAGGATCAGTGAATTTTCATTTGTTTTAATAATATTTTGAGTCAAAAATTCCAATTACTCAAACTAGAAGTGGTTTTGCATATTGTTTTCCATATTTGAAAACCATTTTGTATTACACTATACAAAAATAAAGGTTTAAAAGGGTGTTTTCTCAGTGATGTCACAGAAGAACAATAGTGGGTTCCCCAAAGAACCTTTCAGTGAACAGTTTTACTTAGTATGAAGAACATTTTTGTGCAATGGAAAGGTTCCATGGATGTTAAACGATCTTCATGAAACCATTGATACCAATACAGAACCTTGTGAACCCAATTAAACTAAAATGCCAATACCATCACATTTTACACAGCTGTTGGGTAAAAAAAGTCTATAAAACCACAATTCACACAACACAGATACATTCAGACAAGAATCAACTGAAGCTAGAGTTTAAGAGAAAGGTTTAATTGTGCTGCCAGACCTAATGTATATTTCTATAAATGTCAGGAAGCAAGTTGCCAAATCTATATTAGGCTTTTTAGTGGGGCACAAGTGTGTTCAATAATCTGTATATTATCTCTGGGCAATAACGAGGAAATGCTCAAGCTATTTTGTACACCTTGTCAAGATGTTTAGGTGTCTATACAGAAACTGTTCTATGACATTCTGTCATTCAGAATCATAGGTGCAAGAAATCCACCAGTCACAGCACAGGGCATTTACTATAGCCTTATTCATTGCCTTTTTAAGGCACTTGTTTGTTCATCAGTTTCTAATTACGAGGATAATCCAATTTGTGCATTACACACCATTTTGAGCTTTGATGACTGATGAAACTGGAGGGATACCAATCTGCCACATTGCCGCGTAATGTCTGCCCTGTTCTAATGCTTTAAGGAACATTGACACAGGAGATCAAGGGGAATCAACCACACCTACAGTACGTGACATACCAAAGCATGAGGTGGGGATAGACCGCTGATGCACTTTTGCTCAGCGGTTTCGTGTCTGTTGACATTTGGTGTGCAATGATGTGACAAAATGGAGTGCCACAAGAGGACGCTAAAGGGAAATTGGAGAAGAGCTAATGTGTTGTTTAGTAGTAGGCATAAAGTAAAACTGTGCCAATGCAATCTCAGCATGGTGAAACTAATGTTTGCATAGACACAAGCCTTGGGCATCTCTCCATGATGGCCTGGTAGGCAAACAGATCCTCTTTTATCAGGGACAGCTGTCCTAAACGTCTGTCTATATTGTTGGAGCATGTCAGGAAGCCAAACCGCACAGCATTGAGTATTTGACAGGTTGCACTTACCTGATACACTACGATCTTTGGGATCCCGCTGTAGTTTTATTCTGGCATGAGGAAACGGGTAGTGTGCTGACTTTCCCTAAAGAGACGTCAAATAAGCAGAATCAGACACTGTAACATGCAATAATATGTTTTGTCTGATGACCAGGTCTCTATAAATGTCTCAGTTTTTTGGGTTTCTTGCAGTGTATATTTACTGTTTCTCGCTAATCGGACTGAAATGGTGATGCAAAAACTATATGTATCACCTGTCTTCTATCCCCTTGTCCGTTCTCTATGCGCCCATCTCGTGGTTTATCAAACCAGTCAGTTTCCTCCCGTCGCAGGTGGTACGCTTCAGAAAAACAGATGGAAATTAAAACGTTAAAGTTTTGCTTGCCGGTCTGTTAAAACAAAACCCCTAAAGGCTCTCTGGTAACATCGGGTACTAGAGACAGCTAAGGTACATATGCAGTCTCAAATTCAAACAATATAGAGCCATCTGGGACAGAAAAGGAAATGGTTATATAAAGTAGAGCAGTTATTTTTGCATGCAAACCTAAAACTAAAACAAACCCTGAGGATACAAGTCTTCATATTGTATTTTTTTTCTATATTTAATTCTCCATTGGAATTCTTTAGAAGATTTAGAGCAAGTCTGTTTACTACTGTACCTTCCCATAAAAATCTGAGGTTTTCATAAATAAGACAGGGGTTAATGACAGACAGAGGTAGGAAATATTTTGGCATACTATCTTGTATTAGTGTTGGCATGGGTCTTTCAGCTACAGTGTGGAAAGGGTGGGTGGGGGGGTTATAGGTTTTTACATTCAAAGGCAATTTTAGATGTCAAGATTTTGTCATGGACATGTAAATAATTGACCTCAGGTCATCAACATTTAACAGAAGACAATTTTAGTGTTTACAGACCTGACATTTCGATGTAAAATGATATGACAGATGTAGATCCTATTACATGGTGAAACACTCACTAACATGGAGCACTATTATTGTGTATAGCTTTATAAGTGTGACTAATTTGATCAGGAAGTCATTACTTTCAATAGATTTGATTTTAAAAATTATTACTAGTATTATATGAATGATTTTTTTGTAAACCAAATTTGTGAAATTGCAGCTGCTTAAACTGAGAAAATGAGCGTTATTTTTAGAGAGAAAGGAGTGTGAAATTCCAATTTAATCACAGATGCAAAAGCTGCATTCACTAACACAGCATTACATTAGTGTGCAAATTCGTCATACTTCCTGCAACATGTTGTTATGGAGATGAATTTGCGGTTGATTTGGTTGCCTAACAGCTCATGGGTGATTGGCAGGTGGGTGGTCATGGTAGCAGGGGTGTGAGGGAGACGGGAGACGTGCAGGAGCCTATGGTGGTTATACTCTACCGTTTGTGACATTCTCATGTGAGTTTCCTGGATCGTCTCCGCTCAAACCCACCAGGGATTCACTTAGTGCTGCAACCAAGGCAAATGCATTTACTTCCAGATGGCACATATGATGAACAACACATCATATGCTGTTAAATGTATGGGGTCAGTTACTTTACAGATAAATGAAAAAAAGAATGTTCAAATTGGTGAGTATTTTGGGTTTGAGCTTCACGTTCTGTGGTTGTGTGATTCTTTAACTCTATATTGTGTAACAATTACAATATTCATGTTTTTATATTGTTCAGTGAAGTTTCATGCATTTCACAGATCATGGGGGAAGAGACAAGCAATCCAATGCAATTACCGTTTCATCAGTCTTAAAACTATACTTTAAATGGTTTCATAAATCAAAAGACAAACATTAATACACAGCTGTGAAAAAGCATAGCCCTTTCTATTTGAAGGCATTTTTAGTTCCCAAGTGAAAAAGAAAGCAGATGAACATGGAAGAAAGTGAAAGAGTTTATTAAAAAAAAGACAGGAAGAGACATGCACATCACTTGTACTATTTATTAAAGGAACATCAAACATGCAAACACAAACTGGCATGGTATTATTTACTCTGGTCCATGCTAGCAACATGCATGAAGAGTATTATCTATCACTGAGAGAGAGAAGTTTGTATGGATTATGACATTTTGTGTATACTGTATGCTATAACATTTTCTGAATGAAAGTTAACTGAAACATCTTTTAATAAATTTAAAAACAAATGCCTGACTTTTATACAGAACAAAAGAACTAAATGAAGAGATAATCTGTGTAGTTATACTATGACTTTTTTGCTATAAGGCACTTAATAGATAACTACATAACCAAAATATAACTAAACACGTTTAGTTATTTCCATACACGTTTAGTTAGAGCTACACGTTCTTGATTAATCAAGAACGTGTAGCTCTAGTTTACAAGCAGCTTAACTAAAAATGTTGAGGGTTATAAAGCTATTCTTATGCTAATGAAAAGAGATTCATAATATGTCATAAAAAGTGTAACTTTTTTCTCATTTATCCTATTCTAACTAAACACGTTTAGTTATTTCCATACACGTTTAGTTAGAGCTACACGTTCTTGATTAATCATGAAGCTATTCTTATGCTAATGAAAAGAGATTCATAATATGTCATAAAAAGTGTAACTTTTTTCTCATTTATCCTATTCAGAGAGCACATATCCACATTAAATAAAAATACAAAGACTGGAAGCATGCACTATAAGAATTCACACAGAAACAAAAAGTCAGTCTATGAAGAAATCGCATGCAAAAATGTTGAACTCCAACTGTAACTATGCCACAGAAATGTTAATATAGACAGACAACTGGGACAGTGTGATTTTTTCATTATTTAAGCACAGGAAAAGAAAGCTCAAACAAGACAGAAAAGCAGTTATCAGCAGATAAATTATGCCTTCATATAGACAGGAATGAGCACTTACAAGATGAGACATAGATAAATAAAAATCTGGAACTGTGTAACTGTCACTCCAAGAGGACAGTCTGTGGACAAACAAATTACCTTCACTATCAGACATGGTGCCCTGCAGATCATCCATTAGCACATAGCCACGCCCTCTTGAAGGATCTTCTCTGAGATGTTGCTGTTGAGGGTCTTGGAGGGACAAACATGACCCAAACTGATCGCGCGAGTCAGCAGATATGGGCGGGAGCGGACCCGCTGATGCCCGTGCCATACCCATTGGCTGACCCACTGGACTCAGTGGGCTCTCTTCCTCTGAGTTCTGTGCCACAATAGGAATACGTCCACGCCCACCTTGTACAATGGGCAGGCTTGTAGGTTTTGACCTGCCTGATGGAGCCTGGAAAGCTGAGGTGTCTGAGGAGGGGTCACCTTCTGCTTTGAGCCTCAGAGATGAACTAGAGGTATCCCTTTTAAGGGACAGGTCAAGGCCATACACAGAGGAGGGTCTAGAGGAAGGCCGTGACCTACTTCCACTAGGGTAAGCAGAGTCTTCTCCCAAAGTGGACCTCATGCCTGGGCTCAGATTTAGGCTTTGGCCCAGATTGAGTGAACCTGCCAAGTTGGCCCCAAGAGTGGAGCCCAGGTATTTCTGCTGTTCAGCAATGTTCTTGCGTAGCCCAAAGGTGATTTCATCCTGCAGAAGTCTGCTTGATCTGGGAGAAGCACTACTGGACCCCAAGTAACTACTATAGTCTGTTTCTAGAGCCCTGCTATCCTGGATGGAGGAGTACTTGCCTATGTTGCCGGTGTTTTTGTGTTTCTGGTAGAGCATAGATGTAGGAAGTTGCTTGGCAGCCTGTTTCTCTAAGGTCAATCTACTGATGCTATACTTTTCAGTTTTGGGGAACGCCCTGTAGCCTCCACTAGACACTCCAGTGCTAGTGGTATAGTGATGTGAGAGTCCAGCAAGCTGCTCTAAGCTTTCAGTGCCCCCTGTGCTTCTCCGGAACTCCTGTTTCAGTTGTTGTTTTAAAAGCTTTAGTTCAAATGGCTCTTCCATTGGGTCCTCTTCATCTTGAGCCTTACCATAAGAGTGAAGTCTGGAGGAGCTTCCCAGGTAGTCTGTACCAACATCTGCAGCAGTGCGTCTCAGAAGGTGCTCTGCTTTGGCTAGCTCCCTCTCAGCAATGCCATAGCTGGCAGATGAAAGGCTAACAGTGCTTTTTGCAAGTTCTGCTGCATCTTCTAAAAGCATATAGCTCCTTGGTGTTTGATGTTGCTCTAAGTCTGCATAGAAGGATTCAGCAGATACATTTGACATAGGACTGACTGCCAAGCTGCCAGCACGCTCTTCTAGGCTATGCAAGTCAAGGTGGTTACCATATTTTCCTCCCAAGTAAGATGACGTGTCATAGTTGGTGGAAATTTTGGTAGAATCTAATTCAGAGAGGAGAGCAGCTTGTTGTCTGGCTTTTTGCTGGAGCAAAAGCATTTGGTGGTAGCTCTGTTGTTGTGAGGCAGTCAGAGAAGGAACAGAAGAGTAGATGGACTGGGATTGGTATGGTGACTGAGGCTGGTAAAGGGACTGCTGATACTGTGGGTACTGGTACTGGGAATATTTTCCATACTGGTCGTGCTTTGTCTGTGGAGGAACAAATTCATCAAGTTCTGACTGTGGTGCAGTACGTGGTCTCTCAAGCCCATGTCCACTGACCTCCTCTCCAACTCTTGTTTCACGAATGTTACTCACCTCACTGTCAGACATGTAGTCACGGTCCTCTGCAACACTTTGCAGATAGGCCCTTTCCCTCTTCTCCCTTTCTTTAAGCAATGCCTCCTTTCTTCGGTTAATGCCCATCTCCAGGTATCGCAACTTGGCATCAATCTCCTTTTCTTCCTCATCCAGTTCAGCTTGCTTTTTACGCAGTTTGGAGGACTCTCTCTCAACCAGGTCTAGTTCACGGTCAATGTCCTGCAGGATTTTTGCTCGTGCCATGTTAGTGCTCCGGCAGAGACGGCGACGAGCTGAGCCAGTGCTGTAGGCTGTTTGACCAACATTAACAGCTTCTTCCTCTGAAGGTGGGTTAGGAAGGGTCCTCTTAACCTTCTTTTGGGTGCCAGATGGAGTTCCACTTGGAGATCCCTTTCCCTTTGGATGACAAATAAAAAGAGAATTATCAGTGTTAAATGACAATACAGTTTTTAAGTAAAAACTTTTTTCAACTTAATCATATTTCATTGGAATGACCATAGTGTATTTAAGGCTTTAAAGTTGGTTTCATAAAAAAGAAACTTTAAAAACAAGCAACCACCACCTAAGTTTTCAAGTTTGAATGAGAATGAAGTATAATGGTAAAAAGAAAAAAGGTCTCTAGAGGATTTTGTTTTCTCATGTCAGACATGCCTTGAGGATGGGTAAACAAACACATACTCTATATCTGCTGTTCTGCTGCATTGCCTTTAAAGGTGCAAGCACTGAAAATATTAAAAAGGACATCTAACATGTCAATGGCTAACAGGCCTAGGGCAACATTTGAAAAACAGAGAGAAATCAATATAAGTTGAACAATAGCATGAAGATATTACACAAAAACAATTTGATAAATCTGCCTCAAGGCATTATAAATTTGAAGTCATATATTAACAAATTTCAGCATATTTTCCAAGCTGAGTCTTCTCACAAAACTTAAACACTTATAAAAACAAAATACTGTATACTCACAGAGTAACCCTCAGAATACTGGAAATTTGCTGCTGCCCTTTCTTCAGCAGTTGGGCTCATGGGTTTAGGGTCAGACATTGACCTTTGTATGACCTTAGGAGCCCTAGGACTTGTTGGTGGACCATTGGATAGATCTGTGGCAGAGTGCATTCTCTGTGGGCTTGTGTCTCCATGGGATTTCTCATAGGACAAATACTCAAGGGATTTGCTAGGGGATACACAAGGGGAAATTGGGGAGTACAGTACTTTTGGGGATTTGGGAGGACCTGGGACAACCTGAAGAGTAGAGGCATCTGCTTTGAGGTGAGGAGACTGACCTATATCAAGTGGAGTGGGACGCCTCTTTGGAGAAAAAGTTCTATCAGAGTCAGGATAATCTAATCTAGTATCTACCTGCACAGAGTGCCCCCTAAGTGTTCCTGAAGGGTCCGTTTGTACAGAGATTTCAGTAAGGGCCTGAACTGAAACAGCTCCTCTTTCACCCATGCCATTTTTACCACCACGTGTTCTACTGCGCCTGCTTCGAGCAGGAACTTCCCATTCATCTTGGTCTTCATCATCTGTCTGTACACAGCTATCAACACTTTTTTTTGTACTTTTCTTTTTCCTTCCTGCAGTGTAGGCCTTTTCACTATTATCCTCCTCATCAGTCTGGCAGCCACTGTCCATTTTTCTTTCTCCTGCCACAACAAGAGCCTCTGGCAGGACTTCACCTGGATACATCTGCCTGAACTTCTGTTCTTCCAACTGCTGTCTGAGCTGTTCTTGGAGTCTCTGGATCTGCTCTAACTGCTCCTGTTGCTGAGCATAAGTTTCCTTCTGCATCAAAAGGTGGGCCTGTCTATCCTCTTCTTGCTGACATAGTATTTGCTGTTTCATGGCCTGGAGTTCTTCCAGCTCCTTCTGCACAAGAAGCTGTTCTTGATCACGGAACCGCTGTATCTCCTGTCTCTCCCACTCAAGTTCTTCAGCCAAGCGTTGCTGCTTCATCTTTTCTAGCTCAAGAAGCTCACGCTTTATCTGGTACTGTCCATCTCCTGGAACCAAGGGTGAAGACAGAGCTTCTAAAGAGGCTGCAATTGCCTCCAGTGAAGCATTTGTGTAGGTGTCCAGTGCTGCCACCGTGGTGACTGTTGAAATGGCATCTGAGAGAGTCGTTGAAAGGCCAGCCTTTGAAACAACAGTCTCCAGATTTAATGGTAAGTCACTTTGTTCTTCTGCTGTGGTTACAGCAATTGTTGAAAGAAAGCTGTGCGACCTAGTGAGAGGCTGATTCTGTAGAGTTGACAGTGATGGCATAGTATCACTTGTGTGCATGCCTGACAGAGTATTGAAGGATGTGCTGAAGATAGAGCCAGGCTGGGTGGTTATGGCATATGTAGAAGGGACTGGAGCTGCTACAGAAGAATAAACAATACCATTGGAAGATCTTAGGACACTAGAAACACCATAGTGGGTTCCAACTGCTGAAGTAATCCTGGCTTGTGTGTACTGTGGAACTGTCATTCCAGTGCACACTCCTGTAGACTTGTTCGAATAGTCTACAGCTTCACCTGTTAAAAGTTCATTTTGTTAGATTAGAGTTCAGCACATACAAAGAGTGCAGTGGTAACAGCATTGATATAACCATGCACTATCCAAAGGATGAGAAATAAAGCATCAAAAAGTATACCGATTAGCATGCAGTGACATGCAAAAAAAAATAAAAAATAATAATATTTAAAAAAATAAATATATTGAGAGCATGCAAAATTACTTCCCAAAAAAGGAATATAGGCAGGCATACAAAAAATCAGCTGGGAATAAGTAGAGGTAACTCAAAATGATATCGAGATGAAAGATCTTCAATGTCATACTGACCTGCCACCAACATTTTTCCAGATGTCAGGTCTACAGCACCTTCAGTGATATCCTTGTAATCATAACTATGCTTACTTTTATATAAGAAGAGACCAGCCTCTGCCAAGTTTGTGTCCGACATTGAGGGTTTAATGCCACCAAGACCTCTCATACCATGAGGAGTACGATCGTATTGATAATGGTCATCTCTGTAGCCAAAGCGATCCTCTGGTAATGGAGCTGAGGCCTGCTGAGTTGTACAGCTGCTTGCAAAAGGAAGCTTGTAGACTACATCACAGCAGACTGCTCTTCTTCCAGCAGTAAGATCTACTGGTTTTCCATCATCCTCTGTAATTACAGCAGTAACCACCTCTGCAGTGGACCCATTCATTGCAACCACAGTTTGTGCAGGTTTTACTGTGGTGAGATCAACTGCACCGGATAACCCTGTTTCTAGACGAGGGGGTATAGTTGCACAAATGCAATTGCTTGCAATTGTAGGAGCCATTGTTACAGGAACAGTTTTACCCATTGTTGTAGAGAGATTTATGGGTTTCTCTGGTTGAGAATCCACAGGTCTGTAAATAATTTGAGACACAGGCTCAAAGGATTTAGCTGTTGTAAGTTGGAGAGGCATTGATGTTGACAGAGATACATCACTACCATAAGCTACAGTGGCTGTGCACGTGAGGATGGCGATGTTGTCAGTAACCACAGAGACTGAGGACGTATCAGTGCTTAGGTTTACTACAGATGACTGCACAGCACTTTGCTGACGTCCACCACTATCAATAGCAAGGGACTGTCGTCTTGACTCAGAGGAAGACAGATCCACACCTTTCATGGATGTCTCTGCATCTATCTTTGGGGTACGGAGATCCACAACCTCACCAGGATGGTAGGCATGACCATTCTGCACTTGAGCTGGTTCAGGTTTTATGTTTTCTTGAACTACAGAGATGCCAGAGGCTCTTGGAATGGGATGTGGAGGTGGTGTTCTTTCATGCACAACAGACACTGTGGTTCTTTGGACTTCAGTGGTAACTACCTGAACGCCAACATTTGGAATAATTGACTGAGGCTGTGTTGAGGCTGAAATAGCCTCGTAGACATGACTCATGCTAGAAACTACCTTCTCTGGACCACATATTTCTTGACTTTCAATAGATTCAGTAATTCGTGTGAATGCCAATGGTACTCTAGTTGTTTGTGATTGTGGAGGTGGTTGAGGTGGTGAATGAGGTGGCTTCTGAGGTGATTCTTGGCTAGGACCTATTGAGGCTTGGGTTGTGATACCTTCTGTAGGTGAACCAGGCTGAGATGGCAAAGTAATAACAACATATGTGTCACGTAAAACCTTGCCAAACCTGGGTGATGTAGGGGACTTGAGAGGAGATGTGGTCTTATGTTCGGCAGAAGGACTCAGATTAAGGACACTATCTGCACTGCTTGTACTCAGTATGGTAGGTCTTGTAGGTGTGTGGGCTGTAAAGGGTGGCTGAGCACCAGCTATGGGTTTGGGAGCTATGCGAGGTTTAACAGTCTCCCCAGGTTTGTGACTGAAGGTTAGGCCTGCAGGGATAGAGGATGGCTTAGGTGGTACAGGTGGAGGAACATGGGGCTTATAGCTTGGAGTGAGAGGCTGTCTTACTGGTACACTGTCCCCTGTGGTTGGCATGCCAACTGGAGTAGTTCTTGGGGGGACCTGTGGTGGAGTCTTTTTGGGATACACAGAAGGTTTGGGTAGTGTTGGAGGGGGTAAGGGTGGAGGAACTGGAATGTCTGCTTTTTCCAGAGATGCAGCTCTGCGTAGTACTACTGGTTTGGGAGGAACTGGTGGAGCAGTTGGTACTATATATTGCGGTACTGTGGGCAAAGGTGATACACTTACAACTACTGGGGCCGACGGTCTTGAAATTACACTAGGAACAGGTGCTGTAAAAGAGTCAATTTGACTAGGGGCTGATGACTTGGACAAGTCAACAACAACTGTCTGCTCAATTCCTACATCATTTTCTGTGGCATCCTGTGAATCACTTGATACTGCAGGCAATGCTACTTCTCTTTGTAGTGACAAATCCTCTACGACTGGCTCTGAGACTGATGTTTTCTGGAAAGTCTCATCCACAAGTGGTTCTGGTTCAGTCTTTGTAACTGAAACTGTAGCTTTCTCAGAGTCCTGTGTTTGATCAGAAATACTCTCTTCACCAGATTCCTCTTCACCTGAGGAGCACTGTGTCACTCTTAGATCAGGAATAGGCAGTATTCTTCGTAGGGGTGCTGGCTCGGTTTTTTCACCTTGGGTTATTGTTGTAACTTGTGCCATGCCACTCAGATCAGGGCCTGCTTGAGTTGGACTGGTGCCTGGAGTTAGTACCGCTCTTTGCTTCTTCATAAGCTCCTCATAGGCTGCTTCTGCATCTAATAATGGCCTCCTATCCTTTCCGGATTGACCTGTGGTGCTTGATGACATAATGCTTTGTTCTTTGCTTGAGTCAGTTTCGGGAAACACAGTTTTTGCTTTAGGAGCATCTTCTACTGGCTTACTGTGTTTTATCTCCTGTTCCTTAAGCATCATCTCTTCCTTTCTTTGCATCATGTCCTCATAAACCTCATCAGGTGATCTCAGGGTTTTTCTGGGTTTCTCTGACACAAAAAGTTTATCTGGTTCCTGCTCATAGGACGCATCATCAACAAGAGACTCATATGCATAATTTTCTATCAGCATGCTCCCATAAAGAGATTTTTTACCAGGTGGATGTTCCTTTCCATCGTTAGTTGGAGATTTGACCTTGAGCATAATCTCTTCATATGCCTCATCAGCACTTCTTAATGCATGTTTTCTCTTTTCTTTGGACTGACTATCAGTGTGTTGCTCATCTGTTGGAGAGTACAGTGAGACTGATGTTGGTAATTGATACACTTTTTGGACAGCAACAATCTTCTCTGGGAGAATCTCAAAGCTCTCTGGTTCTGACTCCATGCTTGGGGAAAGGTCTGAGCAGGAAGACCTGCGGAATTCCTCCATCTCTGCTTCTTGTCTTAGCTCTTCTGTGGGAGATGCATCCTCAATTGGTGAGAGGTTGCTTGGCGGAGTTTTGGGTCTTTCTCTCCTTCTCTGTGCCCGTATCTCTTCTTTGTCTTTCTTTGACTTTTTTCCTGTGCCCTTCTGCTTCTCCTGTTCTCTCAGAAGCTCTTCTTCTTCTCGCAGCTCCTCTTCCTCTGATGAATCCTCAATGGTAGGAAGCTGGCCTGACCGGTGCTTTGCTTTCCTCTGCTGCTTGCCCTCACCACTAGACCGAACATGACTTGGGCTGCTACTGTCACTGTCTTCATCAAGAGAAGACAAAGATGTTGGAGATGTTCCTGGGGTAAAACTGGATGCATGTAAACTGGAAGAGCCTTCACCTCTTGACCTGTCATCAGGAGAGTCTGTAAGGCTCTCTAGCTCACCGTCATCTGATATCTGACGTACAGTCGCTGTACTGTTAAGTTCAATTGTTTTAAAATGTCGTATACCAGCTCCACTGTCTACTGAAGGTTGTTCTCCTTTAGCTAGTTCTTCAATTTTAGTTACAGAGATAATACTCTTCCGTTCAGGCTCATCTTCTGGACTGATACTGCTATTTTTGAGAAGGTGTCTCCCTTTGCACAATTCACGTTTGTCCTTTTCATCTTTCTTTGCATTTTGTTCCATTTGCGTCTTCTCTTGATCTTTAATTTTCCGTCTGGCAATGTTTTCTTCATCAGATGGTGATGCATCCTCATCTGCACTCATCTCTATGATCTGCTTCCGGATGAAATCCTCCTCATCCATAGGACTCTCCATTTCTACTTCCTTATCTCCAACAGTCTTTTTCCTTTGCAGTTTAGGTGAAGGTTCTCCCTCACTACTGTCCTCAAAAGAATCTCCTTGAATATCAGTTGGAACCAAAAGTTTTTTCCGCTCTTTTTTTGTTACATCAATTTTTTGCTTTTGAGATTCTACATGTTGGTCATCCTCTGAGCTGGGTTCTGGAGACATTGGCAACACCTCCAGTCGACGCTTGACCTTTGGAGTTTCAGTTTGTGATATCTCTTTAGATATTGTCTGAGCCTCTAGTATTGGAAGGACAGTGCTTTCCAACTTGGCCAAGTCTGAAGGACTCATAGGGCTGCTTTCTTTATCTTTCTTACTAGGCTTCCTCAGTAGCTCACTCTCTTTCACTGGGACAGGAGCCTCTTCTTTATTCTACAAAACAGAAAAAAAGAATTAGAATCTGACAAGCTATGAAAAACATGCATTATATTTATAAGACAAATAAGAACTACATAAGATAAACATTGGGTTTCTGTAGGTGTCTAGACAATGAACCTAGATTTTCTACAATTGATCTATACCTCTACCTGAGATCAAATGTGGGATACTGTAGGTGTCTACACAATGAACCTAGTTTATCTACAAGATATCTATACCTCTACAGCTACATGTACAGTTACCTCTCCAGATTCATTAATTTCATTAGACTTTATCAATGGCTGTAGCACATCATCCAATTTTTCTTGTGGTTCAGAGGTCAACTTCCCCTCCTCTGATTTGTTTCTTTCCTGTTGGCTAAATGTAGATGGTGGGGAGACTACTTCTACATCATGGTCTAGGCTATGGGGCACACAATTAGCTGTAGATTCAAGTTTAGCTTTGTTGGTGACTTCCAGGTCAGTTACAACCAGCGCTTTTTCCATCAGCTCCTCACTGACTAATTTATCTTTCACACTAGATGTAGTAGATGTTACAGCAGGGGTTTGGACTAGTTGTGTAGACTGCAACTCTTCAGGCTTAATCTCAATTACTGCTTTTTCATCTTCATGCTTACTAACCACCAGGGATGAGGGAACTTGTATTTCCTGGTCAGTAAGACCCTTTGGCATGGCAGAATGTTCTAGATCTTTTTCTGTCACAGAGTCTGGAATCTGCCTAATATCCTTCTGTTCTGGCAATATTTTTTCTACCATCTCATTCACAGCAGGAGTCTGGGCTTGTTGTGTAGACTGCATCTCTTCAGGCTTAATCTCAATTATTGCTTTTATGTCGTCATTCTGACTAACCACAGGGGATGAGGGGACTCCTATTTTCTGGTCAGTATAACCTCTTGGTATGACAGACTGTTCTAGAGCTTTTTCTGTCACAGTGTCTGGAATTTGGCTAATTTCCTCTTCTTCTGGAAATGTTTTTTCTACAATCTCTGAAACAGTATGATTATTAACAGATGATAGTTTATCTTTAATTACTTTACATTCATTCTCATTCTCTGTAATAACAGCATCTGACTCTGTGTTTTGCTCACATATTTTCTCTGTTTCTGACATTGTTTTCTCTGGTTTGGGAGCAGCTTCTTGAAGGGCTGGAGGGTATGTATTCCCCATTTTTTTCTCCTCTATGTTTTTATCTGGACTAATCTCTTGTTCAGAGAAAGGGCTTTCAGAACTAAATTCAAATTTTATGTTGTCAGGCATAGTATTGGGAGTGACTTTCTGCTCTGTGTTCTTGAGGATCTCTAAATCTCCACCTGCTTGATCTGGCATACATTTTTCCAGCACTACTTTATCTGTGCTCATCTGTTCCTTTTCCAGTGGCTTATCCTCTTTTTCTACACAGAGCTCTTTAGTGCAGTGATCCTTTGGGTTATATTTACTAACATTTTCAGATCCACTCGCCAATATTTCTTCTGTGAAGTTGAGTTCAGTAACTGGAGATTGTGAGAGCTCATCTAATTGTGTTTGTGATGTGTCCTCTACCTCTATCTTATCTTCTTTTAGACTTTTTTCAGAATTCTCATCGTTATTATCTACAGAAATATAATTTGCAATAAGACTAGAATCTTTGCAAGTGACTTCTGACTTTTCAAATGGATCTTTCATCTCTAGCATTTTTACTATAACCTCTTCTTTGTCACATACATTTACATTATTTTGGGGGGTTAACTCTGTTGTTTCTGTAACCTGCTCTTCTGTTAATTCGTTATTCAAAATGGCCTCCGCTATGACTCCATTTTCAAGTCGATCTGCTCTATTTTCTGGCTCTGCAGATTCTTCCTGATAGGTAATATCATAGGATGGCTGATTATCACGGGGCTCACTGGACTCAATCCCTGGTGCCTCAATTTGCACAGAGGCCTCAGGTTTCCTCTCTGGCACATCCCCTATGCTACTTTGATAAGGATCAGTAGTTGCGGTCTCAATAGAGCTTTCCTTTACAGGCATGTTATCTACCGTATCTACATTTGAGGGTAGTGAGAGCTCTTCAGATTGTTTCTCTTTAGTCTTACTATGTGGTTCCTTGCTTATAGGAGAGCTTGCATTGGACTGTGTCATTTTGATCTCTGTGGCTGGTTCTGATGTCTCAGTGGATTGTGGCTCTATTTCTTTTTCTGAAATGGCTTCCATGTCACTAACCAGAAGGGTCTGAATAACATTATCAATTATAGGTGCTTCCTGGCTGCTTTCAGGCTCCGTTTCAAATGTATTAGCATATTCTGTCTTTTTGACCTGGCACTGTTCTGGCTCACTCTTCTCTGTATTCTGTACCGCTGCTTGGTCCTCAGTTTGTTCGCCAGTTTCAGCCTGTTCTACATCTGCCCCTTTAACATCTGCTGTCTCTTTTAAAACATTAGGTGAAGGAGTTGCATCTTCCTTAACTATTTGCTCAGTTACAGTTGCTACGCCCTCTGTGTTTTCATTCAGGGTGCCAGGTGCTTGTTCTTTTCTCTCTTCTGGTACTACCTGTGTACTCGTCAGTACTGGCTCTGCTGTAACCCCTTGTTCTGCATCTGTATTTTTGACATCTTTAGCATCAACTTTGGCTGAGACTGGCTCAGACTTGTCAGCTGGGGCCTGAGTTATGCTGGGCATCCGTGTTAGCCCTTTGGCGGGGGTGGCAGTGGCAGTAGGTGCAGAAGAAGAAGGGGTGAAGGATGCAGCACGGGCTGGGGAGGAGGAAGGGGTGGGTTCGTGTTTGGCTGGTAGCTTGGATGGAGAAGGTGGAGGTGGCATATCCCCAAGTTGCCCAGAGAGAGCCCTTTGGGTCTGGCAGTTTAGGCAGAGCCATTCTTTCTGTAAAAAAAGGAATAATAGCAGATTTGAGATGAAGTATTGAAAGTTATATAAGTCTAATAATACAGTAGAGGATAACTCACTCTATTTCTGGAGTGCTAAATGTATGTAACTTAAAAGATTTTTCATTTATTATTAATAGTATGGGATGAACCTTTATCAGTTAAATGTCAGAAAAACCTGTTCAGCAAAAACTGCACCTCAACAGTTTACAGATGCTAGTGAATATATGGAGTGAACGCATATACATTTGTATGTGTGGTGGTGGGTGTATTGGTCTTTATTTTTAGGCTAATAGTGAAGTAAAACAAGCTAAAAGATTAAGCAGCTTTAAGCAGTGCTGTGTGGATATACTGTATGGTATTCCTCCAACTCACAAAAGTAGGCTACACAAAATTATCTATTTACAGACAGTTAAATCTGCTAGCAAACACATTGGAAAATGCAGTAAAGGAAATGTGGTCTATACTGTAGTTGTTCACAGAAACTAGCATCATTTCAGCATAATTTACTTGAGAGACCACATGGGGAAAAATTCCATCCCCCACTTAAGCTGTGATTGAGATTTGAACACAGCTCAACTAAAACTAACAACTGTTTATAATGGCTGTTTTCCTCGATATTCCAGTCCACAGGACTTTATTTAGATTTCAAATATGTATTTTCCAAAGAAAAACACTGGAGCTGCTGAAAGCTACAAAAAGAACAACACCTGAAATGTACTGAACCTTGTGACGTCAAGCAGAGCACTCCATGACACTGGATGCACCAAAAAGGGTAACGTCAGAGATGAATATTACATGTTCGTGGAGGATGCAGATGCCACATGCAGGCAGTCCTCTCATGAGGAATCATGCCCCACTGGCTGACGTAAATTCAGAGCGATCTATGTTAAGCTTCAGTGCTGAGTCATGCTTAGCTACGTTTTGGTTCTCCAATGGCTTTGCTGCTGGGTTTAGTCTAAATCTAGAGGAGGTCTGGGATCCCTGTTCCATGCGAGGGCAGAAACATTCTGAGATATGGATATTTCATACCACACACAAGTTGTATGGCAAGACCCATTACTGTATTTGGTGTGCAAGGACAGAGTTCAAGGACAAAGACACACAATCCTAATGAAACCCTATAAGATGAAAGAGTGATGTGCTTGTAACCTTATGAAAGGTACTTATATTTCAACATTATGCAGAAAGGTACATCAGAAGAGAAGGAAATATTATCCTTCCTAAGGCAAAAAAAATGAACAACAACTACAAATCAAGGAAATTAGGAAAACAAAAATGTAAAGACTTTCAGTCTGGTCAAACACTGCAGTAAAGTTCCCTGAATCGCAAATTCAGAGCGATCTATGTTAAGCTTCAGTGCTGAGTCATGCTTAGCTACGTTTTGGTTCTCCAATGGCTTTGCTGCTGGGTTTAGTCTAAATCTAGAGGAGGTCTGGGATCCCTGTTCCATGCGAGGGCAGAAACATTCTGAGATATGGATATTTCATACCACACACAAGTTGTATGGCAAGACCCATTACTGTATTTGGTGTGCAAGGACAGAGTTCAAGGACAAACCCTATAAGATGAAAGAGTGATGTGCTTGTAACCTTATGAAAGGTACTTATATTTCAACATTATGCAGAAAGGTACATCAGAAGAGAAGGAAATATTATCCTTCCTAAGGCAAAAAAAATGAACAACAACTATAAATCAAGGAAATTAGGAAAACAAAAATGTAAAGACTTTCAGTCTGGTCAAACACTGCAGTAAAGTTCCCTGAATCGTATTACTGCCAATTATTATAACGATAAGCAAAAACAGATGTCTGCTCTCACTTTTAATACAGCTTGAAACGGAAACTTGGACTTGAAAATTAAAGTTGCGCTCAACTCCTTTTTATGCAATTCATCAGCAACAAAGTGATCTGCCCATGTGCCATATAACAAATGACAAGATCAGATAGAGGCAATGTAGACTTGGTCTTGGAACTGAGTAAAAAAAACGAATCTATTTGTATGAAACATCAATTTTGAGTAATTTTATTCAATCTCTGGCCACTAACAGCTAACTACCTCTGCATGATCTGGCTAGCATACTCATGCATTTCAAAAAGCACTAAGATTTACTAGCCTCACAAACAGAGGCATTAAATCCAGCAGCCTCAAAGGTGAAGAGACTGGAACTGATGCGAAATAATGAGAGTTCAGGCAGTCACATGATTTGTGGCTTGGGCTGAAAACACTGCTTGTCTTCTCACCACTCACTCTTTCATACTTGCTGAGTTTGCAGACAGGAATATCAGACAGAGCAACATGAAGTTTTTTATGAGGGCCTATATAATCTATGCCAGACTTCTTTAGAGCATCTCAGGTTGCTGATAAGGGATTGTATCTGAGATTTATTACAGATTATTTGAAAGGAAAATTTTCCTCAAAGGGTGTAGAGAAAAAAGGGTATAGAAAAAATGCATGTTAATGGAACAGTCAATTTTAATTTCATAACTTTTCAGTGGAAGTGTATCCCATGAAGTTTGAATTAAAAAAAAGAGCAGTATTTGTGAAAATGAAAATTCCAAAAAGCACGGTAAGAAAAAAAACATCCTATCCTTCCTTACTAAGAAAACCATCTCTCATGTTTATTGGGATACCATTTCAAGAGGGATTTTAACTTCTTGATTACAAAAGGTGTAACAAAAAGTTTTCTTACATACATTTAAGCTCTTTCTTCTATGGAACATGCCCCTGATCTGAATTTAAGTTTCCATTTCTGTCAATCAGGAAAACTGTGCTTTATAATCCCTATCCAATGAGCACAGATGGGTGTGCTAACTCTCAAAGCCAGAATGTGTGTATGTGTGAAATCTGTCAATAAAGGTGTGAAACTGAGCTACATTTACTAAAAGCCCAAAGACTGCCACAGAATTATTTTGATAATGCAATACACTCACTTACAAACCTACCATATGAATCGAAGTTTCCATCAAAATTTGTTCTTTACAGTTATTTTTTACAAATGTAAAAAAACAAAAAACAAAACATTACTATGGCAATACTTTCGATCAGATGCTTTCCAAACCCTTGTCATTTAAATTTTTTATGTAAAAATTACCACAGTTTAACTGAAGTGACACAATAACTGCATTTTGGTAGAATAACTGGTTACCAAGGTAAATGTTTAAAGGGCTAGTAATGTAGGATTAACTATAATAGTAACTGCAAGTATACTGTACATTTATCTAGATTTAGATACACAGAATAAGCATTTTTATTTAATTTATAGATTCAAATGTGACCAAATTAAGGTTTCAAGTCAAACTGTTTTCAACTTCTGTCATAAACACACAATAAGCAAACAAATAGGAAGTCACATTTTCTCAATAAGCTTTCCACACACTTCCTCCTCCAAATTCTAATATCATTCACCGCCTCCTCTCTCACTCTCAATGCTCTTTCTTTCTCTCCTCCTCTCACATCCACCACCTCTCTTCCTCTCCTTATTAGCTAGCTACAGTAGGTCTGTGTGAGGTTCAAACTTCCTGTAAGACTCTGTGCTGGCACCATACTGATTTCCTGGTGCTGCCTACACGGTTAAAATGTGCCAGTTTCATTATACTAAGTGTCTGATGTTAACAACACATTAAGGCAGTGGTTCTCAAACTCTTTTGGTCGCGCCCCCCTTTAAACCTATAAAAAAATCTATTGAAATGAAATTATAATAAACATGAAAAATGAATGCTTTTTTAATTAAAAAAATCTACAGCGGAAAAAACACCTGCAACACTTGAAACATTGAGAACCGATCCATCTCCCATTATAAGTTACGTCCTTTGGCTGTTTACAGTTTTATTTCTTTTCTTTTCCTGCTGATGGCCCGTGTGGCCACGCCCGCCCACACTTTGAGAAGGGATACACATTCAAATCAGCATAACGTGTATTTCTCAGTGGTGAGATTGCTGTCTTTGTACACTTGGTTTGGAGCTTGGTTTAATGGAAAGTGTGCCTAGTGGCTGTCTCTCCATCTTACACACAAAAAAACACCTTCACATCTAAAAATACGACTGCTTTCAAAACATCAGGGACAGGATGGCACGTGGTGGACACTGCAGGAATGCATCTGGCCTAAAAGAGAGCCTTTTGAGCTCAAAGGAAAACACACACAGTCACATACACGGCAATAAAAGCTTGCTGCCACAAAGAGGAACATCTCCCATAATGTCCTGCAGTCATTCTTGGCTCTGCCTCTACCACCCTTTTGCCACTGTGGCTATTTTTGCCTCAATGTACAAAATAGTAGAGAGGCACAGCTTTGACTGTGAGCCAGACAGACCGGTAGAATAAAATACAGATAGACTGGACAATTTAAGTCACACTGTATGATTAAGCCAAGAATAAATAATGAATATTTGAAACTCCAGATAAAACAAATATTTGGTGCCTCAGCGTGACAGGACAGTCACATGGACACATCGTCCTGTAGATTAAGAGACTCAGAGGTGTTATTAAGAAATGCAGGCTAGAAATCAGAAGATTGCTAAAGATAAACAAAGCAAACATCATAATCAAACAGACAGGCGGACAGATCTCCATGGTGATGGAAGGCACACATACACACACGTCTGTACACATTATATAAAGTGATCAAATAGACAGATTGCGAGACGGCACTGTAGTTATGGGAACAGAACAAGCAGACAGAGGAAGGTTGAGTAGCTCTTTAAAGTGGATATGAAGTGTTCGAGCTGAAGTATTTGGAAGAATTAAGGAGTTTAACTTCTCATTTCTAGGCAAAAATGTAAACAGACGTGCAAAATTTGGGAGGAACTTGTTTATCCAGCTGATCCTGTCAATACATGTAACATATTATTTAAACTTTTCAATTGTATGTATGTATGTATGTATATATTAGGGCTGTCAACGTTAACACGTTAACGCATGCGATATATTTTACAATCCTTAACGCGTTAAAATAATTTAACGCAATTAACACGAAATTACTGAAGTACAATTTCTATTC